GATGAGAACGGGTTAGCTTCCTGATCTCCCCCCCTCTCCCCGCCTGGTAATGAGCCGCTGTGGTCGCTGCGGTGACTTCACGGCCGGTGGAGCCACGGTGCTGCTGTCAGTCCGACATGACTTGTTGTTGTTGTTGTTGTTGTTGTTGTTGTTGTTGTTGTTATGCCCTTGGGTACATTTTGGTGGTGGTGGTTTCACCCGAGCTTGCGTGCTTGCATGGTGCCCGTGAACGCACCGCAGCCCTGGCAGTAGTTGATGCTATAGCTAGCTAAAGACAACTCCTCCGCTGAGTCCAGGCGAGGATTAACGACCCCGGCTCCCACCGACAGGACTGGGATTTACAGCCCAATTCAACCCGGAGTGCTGGAGCTGCCTTTAAACAAATAAAACTAAGTTAAAATGTCGGGGGAAACAACAGCTTCGGCGTTATCCATCCGTCGCTAGCCCGCTGCGAGTGAGTGCTGCTGATGTGAAATCTGAGGGCGAATGTATGGAGACTTATCCCGAACCGAAGAAAGCAACATCCATTCCTCAATCCCAACAAACCCGCTGTTCACAAACCCCTGGTGTCAGCTGCTGGTTCTGTCTTTCCTTCTCCGCTGTGCCATCAATCCTCCTCCTTCTCCTCCCCCCCACCCCCTTCTCCAGCACCCGCGACCCACACCGTCCGAGATTAGCGGGTTTCACAGCCGCCGAACAAGTCCTTCAAAGCGGACATCTTCTTTCCTGGCGGGGCTTCACCTCCCCTGCTTCTTCTGGAGAAAACGCAGACGAGAGCGGTCGGTGCATGATCCGGGCTCCGGCGTCACATCCTCAAAGACCGGGGGGGTTTAAAGGTGAAACTAACGCCGGTTGCTCGTTGTATTTCTCACTCGCAACGGAGCTTCGAGTCGGATCCAGCAGATGTGGTCGGAGGCCGGTGCGGGTGCTGCTGCTCCGTCGGCCGGCTCATCCTCTCGTCTTGCCCCGGCCCCTCTGCTCTCTGTCAGCCCCTCTCGGCTCACTCATCGTCCTCCGTCCTCCCTCAGGGATCGTTACCATAACGACGTCATCACGTTGCCCACTGAAGTTTTGATGTCACTGGCAAAACTGTGTTATCACATCCGGTGTGTGGCCATGGTAAAGATGTGTGTTTTGCCATATAGGACAAAGATAAAATAAAAAATGTCATTACACTGCACTACACCAGAACCATGGACGGATTCAACTTCTCGGGGGTCCCTGGGGTAAAAATGCCTTGTTGGGCCCCCTGACAGAGCATTCTCATTAGGGGTGCTCCCATAGTGATGAACCGTTTTAAAGAGGTTGTGGCCCTGGCAAGTGACAAGACATCTGATGCTTCAGTTCGGTACACATGTTAAACAAAGATAAAGGCAGGATAAGCTGGTGATGCTGATCATGGAATCCGAAGCATGAGGGCCCCCTTTTCATTTAGTTGAGATTTTTGAAAAGACTTGGGATCGGTCAGTGTTGGCGGCTCACTGATGCTACAGGAAGCAGAAAGTGTCCAATTTGATGGCTGCCTTTTTTTTTTTACTCCTGCCTGCAGCCACCGCCAGATCAAGTCAACCAGAGTCACAGCAAGTCCACTTCTTATTTCCCCATTCACATCAAGAACCCAATCATTACTCTGTAAACGGGAGCGTCCGTTTAGAGCTGGGGATAGCAGTGGGGTAGAATGTCACTACAGTGTTTGACCTCAAATATACTTGCATTCACTTGCAAACTTATGTGGATAACCATAATGCCCGTAGACTGTATATATGGACGACACATCTCCACATCCTCCCACTATCCAAATACGAAGACTAGTAATTCTGCCATCTTGTGCACAGGTTATGATTAGGTAAGTGAAACTGGTTTGCACATGAGGACAACTTTTGCCCAGATACAACCTGTTGACCGAACCCTCCCCAGCTCCTCTCTTTCATTTGCCTTGTGGTCTCACTGTCACACTGCAGGACAGACATAAACAAACTTCACTTTTTCATTCACGCGTCTGTCAGGCATCCAGAAAGGCTGATTCTTTACAAAGAGCAGGAAGACATGTTTAATTGAGAGTTGCATCTCAACCCATGTGTATTTGTTATGAGGGAGAAAGGGGATTAAAGTAAAGGTGGTGCTCAAGCTTCCTATTTATGCATTTGAATTTCCTAACTGTCAACTGTTAAAGCTTATATTGAATTTATGTGATGTCTTATCAGTTGCTATGCACAATGTAAGACCAGAGTGTCCCCACTCCTGACCTGCAGGCTTGCAGACTCTTGACACTGGATACAGGCTGGCAGCAAAAACTTATATTTAGACCGAGACATTTACTTCATGCTGCTGCATTTTTTCTCTACAGTTGTGATTAGTCACTGACTGCAACTTATTAACCCAGATCAACCAACTTTATAGTGCATTCCAAAAACAAGGATTCAGAGGGTGTGAACAGATGACAAATTAACCTCCCTACATGTTGCAAATACTTGAGATGAAACACTGGAAGACTCGTTTTCTATTTCAAGATTAGGCTGAGCATGAAGACCAGACTCAGACACACTCGCTTAGAATGGGATCGACCGGGCAGCGCTGAGTTGTGGTGAGAGGCCGGAGAGAATTCATCAAGATATTACAATAATGGATAGTGTGACAGAGGATTTAGCACGGTCAGACGTTGACGCTGAGATGATGGTGTTGACGCCTGAAGATATTACTGAGGAAAACCTCGACGCCTGCGATGATGTGGAGAACCTTCGAAACAGGTGCAGATCAGGAGCTGTGATTCAGTTCTGTGGTTTTACTTAATTGTTTTTTCATCTGGTTGTTAACTTTAATCATTTTTTTTCATTTGCAACAAATCCCAAGGAGCTCAGAAGACACGGTTTATTTCACAGTAATAACTTGAATGCATTCCCATATGAAATGGGCAATTAATGAAGGAAATTGCATCAGTGTGACTGACCTGTGTGTGTGTGTGTGTGTGTGTGTGTTTGGGTGAATGTTTTTACATTCAGCTGCAGATTATTAGTAACACCTACAGTAAAATACAATCCAACACAACATTTGATCATTTTGGAAAATACATTTTGTAATACTGAAAGATTTCCATTACTGTCAATGGGGGTAGGCTTAATATCTGTATAACATAGTACAATTCAACAGCATCACCACCTCTGAAATACTTTCAGCAAAAACTTTATGGTTTAAACTTCATGGAGGCAGAATCTAATGAAAGCTAGTGAACCAAAGTTCCTATTTATTCTTGTATGGTTGGGATAGACTGCATTGGTCTTAGCTAGTTGTACCTAAACAGGTGACTGTGTGTTTGTGTGCGCGGCTGTAAATCTGACAGAAGAATAGAGTTTGGAGAAAAACATTCAAATCAATAGAAGCAACAAGTCTCTAAATTTAAGTTAAAATGATTATGTCATCCAGCCACATTATAGTATTCGGAGGACTACTCGTAGAAACGCATGTGTTGTTAAGAGGCAGGTACGAGTGGTTTGCTGCATTTACCGATTTTCTCTGCGGAATAAACAAAGTTCACGAGAGGTTCACACCTGCTGTTCCGATCTTTGACTCAAGAGTGATACTCCCTTAATCTGAATGAGTTAGAGTTTAAAAATGATGCCAAACTCACCTTAAATTATAATATAATGTTATAATAATGATAATAAATACAATAAAAGCTGACTGAAAGTCTTTTTGCAGGTGTTGCAGCTGACTCTGTAACACCACCTACTTAATGACATTTTGTTGTCCATCTCAGTCCCTGTCACGTCTCATTAACTGTCAAAGACTCTTTGCTTTGGCATTACGATTGGTATACTATCTCACTTCCCATTAAACCAATCCTGCTTATTGATGTCATAGCATTGCTCTATGGTGTGGTGTCATTGGCAGCTCATCAGTATTTTCAAATAGTATCAGACCCCTTAATAACATCATCTTCTCATGACAGCAGCAGAACTTGAAGCTCAGGTGGTCAAATGTCCTCAACACATGATGAAACTGACTGGAGCAATATCTGGCTTTATATAGATATATATTTTGAGTCATTTCAGCTCACTGCCACATTGTTTCTGTGTCTTCAGTTTACGTGAGGTTGTCCACGATGACAACGTCCAGCCTAAGATGCAGTGTCTAATGATGGACTCCTCCTTCTCCATGGTAACCATGCAAGGAGAGGACAGTGGGATCGCATGGGAGACGACCCCTAGTCGCTGTACCACACCGTGGGCATCCGAAGCTGGAACCTCTACTGTGGATCTCAGCTCTCCGGTTGCAGTACGGCATGCACAACCTGGGTCTGTTCCAGCAGGGAAGATAATCTTCGTCATGGATGAGGAGTTGATTTCCAGACGGAAGAAAACTAAAGAGAGGGCAAGTGCTCAGAGGAGACAACGAGAAGTCTTCGCAGACAGCTCGGAGGACGTCTCCGGACGGCCAGAATTAGTGGAAGTCTCTGAGCCAAATGTGAAAACCAAAGGAGAAGGAGCTGAAGAAGAACCAACTGAGCCTCAGGAAGATAAAGAACAATGGCTATTCAGCTTAGTGTCTGAAGGCTCTGAAATCCTTAACATTGTTGTTCCACTTAAACTTGATACTGTGGATGAAGAGGAGAGCAAAGAAATGGCGGACAACTTATCTTATCTGGAGTCGAGCCCTGTTCCTAAAGCAAACGAGGAGACCAATGATAATGACATAATGATCTTAACAGACTCTCCTACAGCTGCAGCAAGAGCTGAACAGATGCAGCATTCATTTCTCATGGGTCCACATGGGATGGATCCACCAGGGGCTCCAGTGGCCAGACCTCCAGACAGAGGAGCTCCAGGACAAGTGGACTACTTTGAGGCGTTCAACCTGATTGATGCCCAGGCTCCGGGAAGTCCTGCTGTGGTCGCAGAGAGACAAGTGGAGCCCGAGGTCGAGGGTCTCGCCAACAGCCAGGATTCTTCGCTAGTGCAGTCTAACAACATCACCACAGAAAGGCCTGTGAATCTCGACAGGTCAGACACAGTCAGTCTTGGGGAAATCAACATCGAGCTTCTAGATGAGGTCTTCTACGGTGGTACAGATGACTATCACAATGAAACTCTAAAGAGAGAGGTCAGAGGTGGAGATGCCAGATGTGCACCCTTGAGACTCCCGTCAAAAACAAGCGGTTCGACTTTATATGGAAGCCAAGAAGAAATCCTGACACCGATCTTTCTACCTGAAGGACCTACCAAAATTATTGACCCCATTTTGCTAGAGGAGCCCAAAGCCATGGCCTTCCTTTATACCGACCTGTATGAGGAAGCAATCGGCAGTCGACAGAAAGAGGAGGATACAGAAAGTATGACCTCGGAGAAGTCCTTCCACAGTAGGCATTCAGACAGGGAGGCCAGGGGATATTTAGAAAAATATGCCCTGATAGATGAGACTCCTGCGGTGGAGGTGGAACCAACCGATAAAGAAGAAGGCCCAGAAGAAGGTCCTCGGACATTGTGTCAAGATTTGTATGATTTCGATTTTCTGTCCAAGCCTGAAAAAGGTGAGGTGCCAAACTCAGAGGAAGAAATAACCGATTTCTTCAGATCCAGTGCCAATTCTTCGCCATTCGATATGGAGCCCCTCTCTCGATCAGTAGAGGAAGACGACACACAATCAGCACCAAAGAGTAAAGCTAAGACAAATAAAAAAGTCTCCATAACAGTAGGACAAGTTACTGAAATCCCAGCAGACCCACTTAGCATCTCAAGCTTTGAGTTTCCGGCAGAGGAACCAGACTGGGGAACTACAGATGATCATCCAACAACCTTGGATGAGAAAGATATCAGTTGCATTCCAGATCAGAAACTGTGGAAACAAGATTTGGAAGCGCAAAGGCCAGTTGCCCCTCCTAGGAAAAAGGCAACAACCTCTCCTAAGGCAAGTCTGGACCTGACACCTCTGACTCCAGTTGATGCCATTATACAGGAAAAAGAAGAGACTTGTGGAAAGGAGCAGAGGGAGGAAGAGAAAGAGACAGCATCACCTGAGGAGACTGCTGACGAAGGAGATGGAGATGGAGAGGAGACCCTGCTGTCCTCTTTTGAAGTTTCTATGTCTGAATATGCACTGGGTGCAAAGGAAACTGAAAGTGTAAAAGAAAGCAGTGAAATAACAAATACAAAACCAGCGGCAGCCGAGGTGGAAGACGCCAAAGAAGTAGAGGAGGAAGAAAGTGAAACAGCTACAAAACAAATTGAATCAGAGGGGGTAAATATTACATCACCAGATTCGGCTAAAACAGAAGTTAATCCTGAAAAACAAGAGGATATTTCAGCTGCGTTATCAACTGAGCCAGCTAAAGACAAAGGACATTGTATAATACTTTAAAGAAGCGACAGTATTCAATCATATTCATGTCAAGTGTCTTGCTGATGTGTCTTAAAATCACAGTAGAATGTACCTGCATTGAACTGAGTCTTAAACCCTCCAATATGATGGGTGTAAAAATGTTGATTTAAATGTTTCTAGTTTTTATAATTTGCACCCTGCTGTTCTTCTTATGCATGAATTCAACTGTAAAAAAATGCAATGCAAAAGTGGCACCTATTTAGAGATTAATCGAATAGTCGATCAACATGAAAAATAATCAGCAACCATTTTATCAATTGTTGTAGTAATTTTTCAAGCAAAATAGTGAAAAATGACAAATATTTGCATCTCAGCCTCTCAAAAGCTAAGATTGGAAGATTTTTTTGGGACATTTATCTTGTAAACTGAATATTTTTTGATGTCACCCTCAGCTGAGTGAAACAGTTTTTTGATATTCCATAAATGAAAATAGTTGTTAGCTGCCGACCTACATAGATCAAATATCTTTACCTCTGTCTCTTCAGTATTGCAGGGTGGTTATAACGCATGAATCATGGAGTGTTTGAAGGGAGAGGTATGGGTTTTAGGTGTGAATAAACAGGGGTAGAGTGCATGTGTTTGCGCAAGGTTAGGGTGGATCTTCAGCTATAAATAAGCCTCTCCTGTCGTGAACCTGACACCTCGTCTCAACCAGGAGGCTGTGTGCTGTGTACCTACTTGTAAACAGTCAAAAAAGTGTGTAATACATGCAGACGGGCCTATTCATAATAGCAGTTTTTTTCTGATACTTTGTTTAATCCTTAATGTTTCCAAAGACTACCATGGCTGTAATGTATGCTAAATTAAAATTATTCTAACTCTGTGTGCACCTGTTTCCACATTATCAAGAGACTGGAAAAAACAGATTATGACCTGCAAGAGATGTTTTCCATCTCATCAAGAGGTGTGGACTTAAAGATCATTGTCAGACATTTTAATACATTACTTTTATTTCTACTCCATCTTTGAAAGGTCCAAAAGCTATTTTTCAATCCAAAAGTTGAATTGCTGGACACAGGATGTCTCCCACTTCACTGTTAGTCTAGTTTCTACATCACAATACTCAGCCATAGTTTATATACTGGACCACGATTGACTCCAAAGAAGTTGTGACGCCACAAATCAAACCTCAAATTCAGATTTAGGGTGGGCCCATGGTGAAACAGCCTCATGGTGGAAAACACTGAACATGACAATTTTTTATTCATGAGGACTTTTACGACACTGAACTCTTGAGCTCTGTTTATTCAACACATGTGGTCATTAAAGCGGATCCATGTCGGGCGGTATTTTCAGATACTGTTGCTTCCAGGCCTGAATCCAAAGGTTCCATCTGGAGCTCAGCAGTGATGGCTGCGCCTGCTGACCTTGAAGAGGAGACTGAAAACACACACTCACGGATATCAACAAGCATGTGCACACATAGTGCGAATGTGCCTGAAGTAAAAATGTGTAGCACAGTGGCATTTTGTTTTAGCAAAGTAATGTAAGCAATGTTTTAAGACTTGAGTTACCACTGGTCATCTCACTGGATTTGTGTTGACTTCATATTAATTGGGCTTTGGCGACACCCAGTGTTACAAATATGAATGTCCATATTGTCTAACATTTTATCATCCACATGTGAACTAGGACCCAAAACAGGCCGTATATAGGCCTTATTTAAGAAGTGGCAAAAATGTAACTGTACATTTACAGCAATGTGCAAAAGTAATGGCTTTTTTAAATAAATAATGAAACAGCGCTTTTCTTTTAAAAACTACTCGTGCAAAACATATTCCCCATAGCTTACAAAGAACTGAAAGTGTCTGATCACCTATTGATATTTTGACAAAAGAAATTACTTAAGAACTCTATAAAATCAATGAGTGGGTTACATAGTGATTTAGTCTTGGACTTCTGCACACTTTGTCTTCCATATTCTCGTAAGTATTGTGCATGACATTAATAAAGATATTCCATATGATCTCCATCAAGGCAGCAATATTAATAGAATCACTTCCTCTTTGGCATTTGTCTTCATATTAAAAGCACAACATTCATTTTTTTGCTGCAGTCTAGCTTACAAAGATTTCATTCTGAAACGTTGTGAACTTGGGTCTAAACTTTGTGAAATAGCCCACTTGCATGAATGTGTGAAAAATAACACCAAGTATAGTTTATAGTTGTATAAAACATTTTTATTTCTATACCTTCTAGTTT